CGGAGCCAGGCTGGCAGAGCTGGGGGTGCTCACCTGCAGAGGAGAAGCTCCAGGGAGAGCTCAGAGCCCCCAAAGGGGCTCCAGGAGAGCTGGAGAGGGACTGGGGACAAGGGATGGAGGGACAGGACACAGGGAATGGCTCCCACTGCCAGAGGGCAGGAATGGATGGGACATTGGGAATTGGGAATTGTTCCCTGGCAGGGTGGGCAGGCCCTGGCACAGGTGCCCAGAGCAGCTGTGGTGCCCCTGGATCCCCAGCAGTGCCCAAGGCCAGGCTGGACAGGGCTGGGAGCTCCTGGGACAGTGGGAGGGGTCCCTGCCATGGCAGGGGTGGGATTAAATAGTTTTTAAGGTCACTTCTGACACAGCCCCTACCATGATTATCAGATCCCTGAGCCATTCCCAAAGCTGCTGTGTGTCCAGGAAACCCCCTCCCCAACCCTGCATGCATTGAACAGGTTTTAAAACCCCCCTGATTCCATGGATTAAGCTGCCAGGAAAACACAAATTTGTTCCAAAACCCATTCAAGGCAGCAGGAGCCTGCAGGGTGACAGGAGCTGTGTTGGAAATCTGATGGCTGCACAAAACCCTCCTGGCGTGGTCCCAGGGGTACCACAGCTTGAAAAAAGTTCTATGGGCTGTTTATTTGTTTAGTTCCTTCTGTATTTCCCACAAGTTTTAGGAAAAAATATCAGAAGATTGAAAAATCTGATGTGAAATGTTTGGGTTTTTTTATCCTCAAGTAGAACAGGGGGTGAAGAACTCCACCCTGCAGGTGGGAGCGATCCACCTCAGCTCCTGCAGATTTCCCAGGGGCTGGGCAGGCCTTTGGAATTTTCAGGATTATGGGAATTTCTCTCAGGACTCTGGATAAGCATCATCCATTGTGCCAGACAAAATCAACCATTTTATAAACAAATTTACATTCCTTTCTGTGCCATTTTATGGTTTGATGTTCCCATCCCTGGAGAAATTGTGGTCCCTTAATTCTGTGCTGTAACTGCATTACAAAAACCATCTGGAAAGATACAGGAAGTCTCCAGAATTTCCTTTCACACACAACTGGCTCTTAGGACGCTGCTGTGGGATGCTGGAATTCCAGCACCACGGTGGTTCTGGGAACTCACTGGGTTTAGGCTGCTTTAAAGGCAGAGGGTGGGTGATTTTCACAAGAAAAAAACACAATTAAGAAAATTAATTGACCACAAGCCTTTTCCCATTCTATTTTAAAATGGTGGTGGGATCAGAAGAGTTGGAGTGAGGAAAAAAAAAGAAATTTTTCATCACTCCAGCATTACCCTTTGAATTGCAGAGGTTTCTGAGCGCTCAGCGGGGCGTGTGGCTCAGACCCCTCTGGCAGCGCTGGCTCCGTTGAGTGACACGTCCCCAGGGCTGGTTCCTGTCACCACCGCGGCTCTTTGCCCTGCTCTGGGTGGGGTTTGGTGCTCTGCCTGCAGCCTGGCCCAAGCCAACCGTGCCAGCAGGAATGTGGGATGTTTCCAAGTGCATCCGTCACCGTGGGCTGCCTGGAACGTGCCCGAGCCCAGCCAGAGGGAAGGTCCTCGGGAAATGATTCCAGAGTCAGCCCAGCACTGCTGGACGCCTTTTCCCAGCCAAAGCAGGGACACTGAGATGCTGCAGCAGCAGCTCCTGCTCCTCACGTGCCACCACTGTCCCTCAGCCAGGCCACTGCTTGTCACCCAGGGCTGGGGAGGGACTTGGAACAAGAGATGGAGGGACAGGACACAGGCAATGCCTCCCACTGCCAGAGGGCAGGGATGGATGGGAGATTGGGAAGGAATTCCTCCCTGGGAGGATGGGGAGGGACTGTGATGGAATTCCCAGCACAGCTGTAGCTGCCCCTGGATCCCTGGCAGTGCCCAAGGCCACTGGAGCAGCCTGGCTGGATGGAGTTGGAGCAGCCTGGGACAGTGGAAGGTGTCCCTGCCATGGAATGGAATGAGCTTTATGGTCTCTCCAACCCAAACCATTTCCTGATTTCATGATTTTAAGCCCATGGAGAATGAATTCCCTGCTATGGGAACAAAGCAGCTCCCTGCCTTTTGCCTGTCTTGAGCAGAGAGGAGCCCTCCACACTCTCCAGCCTTTTCCTGGCAGCCAAACCTCTGCAGCCTGGTGTGCACCGGGACAAGGACACCCCACAGCTGTGCTGGCACTGGGGATTTCCGTGGAGCAGGATGGATGCACAGTTCCACTGGAATTGTGTCCCGTTCCAGCAGCACCTTCCGTGGGCTCTGCACTGCTCCGGGGGCTCTGCACCTGCCACAAACGGAGCTGCTCCCTCCTCCGGCTCCTTTCAGAGGCTCAGCTGAGCCCATCACGGCTCTGCCTTCCTTTGGAAAGCCAAATCCTCCGTGCTGAACTTCCAAGGGGGCACGGCTCCTCCAGGGGCATCAGCTCCAAAAATCCAGCTCTGCAGAGGCACCTCCGCTCCTGCAGCAGCATCAAACCCGTGGGAATGAATGCCCCGCGGTTCCCGGATCGCTGCTGCCCTGCAGCTCCTGGGGCTCGGTGCCCCGAGGCTGTACCTGCTGTGCTCAGTGGGGGCGGCACACACAGCCCAGGAGCTGTGAAATCCTGGGATGATCTCCCCGGCCACAGATGGAAATAGGAGGTTGCACCATCCTGCAGCCACGCACTGACCCGTTCCTGCCTGGAGCCGGGGATGCCACCCCAACCCCACTCCTGCTGTCCCTGCTGCGGGACAGGGCATTGCTGGAAAGGGGACACCCACACACGCCACAACTGGGTGGCGGCTCGGGGTTATTTTGGGGGGAGTTGGCAGTGCTGGAGGCTTGAGCAGCCAGGGAAGGGTTAAAGTGGGGACCCTGCTCTTGCCCACTGCCCACCCTGCACTCGGGTGTCATCCAGAGTTGCAGCTCCTCCCTGCCAGCAGCTCCCGTGTCAGGCTTGGAAAAGATCTGAGCCGTGCCAGAAAGGCAGCGAGGGGACAGCGAGGGGGAAGGGAGAGTGGCGTGGGGCTGCAGTGACCTGTTGTCCCCCAGGCTCGGGGGGATGCCCCCACCCCTGGGGGATGCCAGGAGAGACAGCAGCTCCTGCAGGGATCCCCAGCACAGCACCAGGAGCAGGTCCCAGACCTGCTGCTCCCATGGGGTTGGCAATACTGGGAGCCCTGCAACTTCCCAGGGCTGGAAGATGCCCCGTTTCCCTTTGCAGCCTCTGGATGCCAATTCCCTGGAGCAGACACCTGCAAAGCAGGACCAGCACGGGGCACTTGGAGCTGTCACAGAGCTGAGCCCCACAGCCCGAGGGATCTCATTCAAATCCACCTGGAAATTGAGAAGGAGACCCAAAGATGAGAGGTTCTCAGGATTTTATGGATCCCAGGAGGGAGACAGCAGGACAGGCACAGGCACGGAGGCTGAGCATCCTCCCTGCTCTCTCCTGAGCCAAACTGGGATCTTTCCCCTCACAAGTTCCCAAAGCCTCCACCACCTTCTCCCCTTTCTGCCCTGCACAGAATCCACCTCATTAATCCAACCTGCTGCAAACAGAAACGGTGCTGGGCGTCTCCTCATGGCTCGGCCACTCATTCTCCTACCCCAAATCCAGTAAATTTCCCTGAGCTGAGCTGGAGCTGCCCAAGCGACTCCACAGAGCCAGGCAAAATGCTGAACTGGACTGGACCCTTTTGTGCATGTCAGAAAATACAAAACGCTATTTAAATACTAGCACAGCAGAGTCAAGGCAAGACTTTGTGTTCATTAACCCCTTCCTGTAAATATGCTCTTTCCCCCTCAAACCATTATAAATCCAATATTTTTCCTGGAAAGAACCAGAGGGGGCAGCTCCAGCGCTGCATCAACCCATCCAGGGTCTCCCCGGGACAATAGGACTGACTGGGATGTCCTGCTGTCCCCAGGGCTTTGTGGAATTGTTGTCCCTAGCTGGCAGCGGCAGTTCCATCCCTCCTCTGCTGCGAGCTGATCCCTGACAGCTCCATCAGTGAGTGCCCTGAGGGCAGGGCAGGAAATGTTTCTGCTCCTCGGCAAACTTCCCTCTGCAGGGATGGGGAATGGGGAATGGGGGATGGGGGATGGGGGGTGGGGGAAGGGGGAATGGGGGCTGACTGCCCCTGGACAAGCCCCAAAAGGGCTCTGGGCGTGCAGAGCGGGCCCTGCCCATGCAGCGGGTGATGGGAGCTGGCACAGGGGGGATACAGCACCCAAAACCCCGAGCTGAACCCCAGCCTGGCACTGCCTGATTGCCATGGAGGATCCAGCTCTGAACACCACCCTGGGCTCATCCTGGCACCCTTTTGCTGTGCCCGTGTGCCCACAGCCCCAGTGTGGGGACAGCCTCCCCTTCCCTGCCACCCCACCCCGATGTTGCCCCACGGCACAGGGGTCCCACCGCCCCCTCTGCCCTCGGGTCCCCCCTGCCGCCCCACGGAGCACGGGGGCTCTGCGGGGACAGGGCTGCTCCCGAAAGGAGACACTGGGAGCACTCGCAGACCTTTCCTGCAACCTTGGCTTGCCCAGGCCGGGGTTTATATTTAGACCTCCAGGAGGAGAAGCCAGGAGAAAAGAGCCTTGCGACTTGTGAGCTCTGCCCGTGGCTCCTTCACTGTGACGGGGAAGGTGGCTCGGGAGCCCACTGCCCGCCACGTCCCTGGCTGTCCCCGCTCATCCCGACACAGCCCTGCGGCCACTGAGGGCCCCGCTGGCTGCTGCCACCCTCTCCCCGTGCCCTGCCTGCACCTTCGTGGGGACTTTGTCCCCTGTCCCGGACAGTTTTCCATGCAGGGGGGTCCAGCAGGTGCCTCCAGCCCTGAACACCCCCCAGAGCCAGCAGAGTCCATCCTGGGCCCGCCCGCCTCCAGCGCTCGGACCGCAAATCCCGGGACACTGCCGGTACCGCTCCGGGCACGGTGACAGCGACAAAGCCGGGCACATCCCGGACCCCGCAGCCCTGCCCGGCGGCCTGGCAGCAGCCCAGGGCTGACCCCAGTACTCACTGTTGGGTGGAGAGTGTGAAGTCCCAAGGAGAGACTTTTTAGGGCCAGAACCTCCCTCTCCTTCGACTCCTGGAGGCTTTGGCTCGGCGAGTTGGCAGAGCAGCTGCCGCGGCTGTCAGATGGTCATGAGTGAAACCTGAGGACACGCGGGGTCCTTCAGGTAGCCCGGCCCGTCTCGGCCGCGGCGCTCGCTCCGCGCCGCGCCAGTCAGGCTGGCGGCGGGGCCGGGGCGGCCGCGGCTCCTCCGGCTCCTCCGGCCCCATCGGCCCCTCCGGCCCCTCCGGCCCCATCGGCCCCTCCGGCCCCTCCGGTTCCTCCGGCCCCATCGGCCCCTCCGGCCCCTCCGGCCCCTCCGGCCCCTCCGGCCCCTCCGGCCCCATCGGCCCCTCCGGCCCCATCGGCCCCTCCGGCCCCACCGGCTCGGCTCCTCCGGCTCCTCCGGCCCCTCCGGCCCCTCCGGCCCCATCGGCCCCTCCGGCCCCATCGGCCCCAGGTGCGCGGCGGCTCCGCGCCCGCTTCGGCAGCCGAAGGGACCGGGGAGCGGCGGGGGAGGTGGGAGCGACCCTGGCCAGCGCCTCCCCGGCAGTGACAGGCGCTGGAAAGAGCAGCGGGACAACTGCGAGGGCGGGGGGGCAGCCGGCGCCAAGGCCGCTGCCAGCGCTGTGCCCGAGCCCGGGGCTCTCCGGGAGCGTCGTTCCCATTGTTCAGAGCCCAGGAGCGGCCACGCTCCTCCCCTTGCTGGCAAACCAGGAGTGTCTGTAACTTTTTTGTCCCCTCCTCGCACCCTGTTGCACCAGAACATCCCAGGAGCATCCGATGGGGATGTCCCTCGCGTGTCCTGCCCACGGGGACCCCGTGAGCCACAACCGGGGTGACGCAGAAACAGGGATTTGCCTGAGTGGGGTTGTCCCCTCTTTGTGCTTCCTCATGGGGTCTTTGGGTTCTTCTGCCAAGCCCAGGCACTTCTGGGGTCCGTGGGGTGCCCGGTGTGCCCCCAGGGCCTGGAGGAGAGGGTGTAGGGGCACTCAGCTTGCAGGGTCACCCCTTTTGGGGTGCTCAGGGCTGTGCTGGGGGTGGAGCAGCCACCCCAGCACTCAGCCTGGTCAGAGGGGTTCATCACCTCCCCAAACCCACTGTTCCTGTGATTAATTTCTGCTTTTCCAGTCCCAAAACACCCTGGAGAAACTTCCAGGTGTTTGGGTGGCTTCAGTGGAGCTGCAGCCCCTGACTTTGCCAGCCTGGAATGCCATGGGAATCCCCTTCCTGCCCAGCCCCTCACCCCTGTCCCCTCCAGCACCCTCCACAATCAGCACATCCATGGCCAGGCCTGCAGCCCTGACCAGGGAGCTGGGAAGTGAAGGTCCTTGGACTGGTTCTGCTTCTGACTCCACGATTTTCCTGTCCTGTGCAAGGCTGTGGGAATGAGGCAGAGCCGGAGCTGTTTCAGCTCTCCAGGGAAAACTGGTGCAGGAGGAGGGAAGGAAGAGCCCAGAGCAGCTCCCAGGGGTGACTACAGGTGTGGCTGGCACTGGGAGCCTGTGGACAGTTAGCTTCTGACCTCTATTCACAAGAGACTGAAAATAGAATAAAAGATTTTAAAACTCCTCTCAATTAACTCAGAAAAAGACTTAATCCAACAGGAGCCCACTGGGGGCTGAGCAGCAGAACAAAAGCCATGATCCAGGGCCACAGAGCATTCCCTGTGCATCCCAGGGTCAGTGGGTTTGGCTGGTGGGGACAGCAGGGACAGGGACACCCTCCTGCTGTGCCTGTGGGGACTTTCCATTTGCTCTGTTGGTCACAGCAGGGAATTCAGGGGATGTTTGGTGGCTCCCAGCAGCTGCCCCAAGCCCAACCTTGTCACCCACAGAGAGACTTTTCAAGCTGCACAGGTCCATTTTTGCTTCTCCCAGACCATGAGCAGGCCTGGAGTGAGTCTGGAAACCCTGGATGTGTCTCTTGCCCCGTGCGATGTGGAGACACCAAGGGTCCCCAGCGGGGCACATGGGCACAGTTCTGCCTGCAAAACCGAGGAAATTCCAATGGGAATGGGAGCTTGGGGCACCGAGAGGTACTGACCACACTGATCAGGGTGGAAAAACGTGTCCTTGGGTTTCCAGGGTGGAATTAGGGCCATGCTTAGTCCAGCTTTGGACATCTGAGGTGCCCTGGCTTGTGGTGCTGGATCCACCACAGGATCACAGAATCAGGGAATGGTTTGGAGTGGGACTGACCTTAAACCCCCCCCCCCCCCATCCCCGCCATGGCAGGGACACTTTCCACTGTCCCAGGCTGCTCCCAGCCCTGTCCAAATTGGCCTTCGGCACTGCCAGGGCTCCAGGGGCACCACAGCTGCTCTGGGCATGGGCACCCTGTGCCAAGGCCTGCCCACCCTCCCAGGCAACAATTCCCAATTCCCAATCTCCCACCCATCCCTGCCCTCTGGCAGTGGGAGCCATTCCCTGGGTCCTGTCCCTCCATCCCTTGTCCCCAGTTCCTGCCAGCGCTGTCCCTGCCGTGTCCCCGGGGCTCTGCCGGTCCCTACGCAGGCAGGGGAAGGGGAGACCCGGGCAGGGCCAGTTCCCCGAGCTGCAGAGCCGGGAGCATCCCGGGGCGGGATAAAGGAGCGGATGGAAGCCCAGGGCACCCTCTGTGCCAGGCAGGGCGTCCTGGCAGGTCCGGAGGTCGGGGAAGGCGGGCACGGGCAGCAGCCCCAGGCACCGCGCCCCAGCTCGGCCCGCTCCCGCCCCGCCGCGGGTTAACCCGCACCTGCCCGGGCTGCCGGGCTGTCCCGGCTCTGTGCCCCGAGCAGGGTGACCCTTTCCTCACTGGCTGGGGCTCTCGGAGCCGGGCCGTGGCCGCGGTCACCCCGCTGCGCCCCGCGGGCTCGCCGCGCTCCAGCGCTGCCCGCGCCGCTGCCGCGGGGCCGCAGTGCCACCCTCCGGCTCCGGGCTAAACTCCCCGTGCCCGGACAGCGCCCGGGCCTGCGGGGACACGCGGCACCGCGGGGACACCGGGGCGAGCGGCGTGCCAGGCTGCGGCACTGCGGCCGTGCTGGGGCAGGATGCGGGTATTAGAGCCAAAACCCCCGAACACAGCCTCAGGATCGTCCAGGGTGGAAAAAATCCCTGAGAAGGTGACGGTCTTCGGAAGAAATTCCTCCTTGCGTTACGTTCTCCCCCTCACACAGCCCCCTAAATAATCAGGCTAGCCCAGAGGTCCGAGGCTGTGAGGGAGGAATATCAGGACATGACAAAGATTTCCAAAAGAGGCTCTTACCCCAGATATGTTGGTTCAGCTCTCTTTATTCTGTGGTGTCCAAGGGGAGAGCGGGGCAAAAGAGGATGAACAGGAAATGTCTGGGGTCTATATAGACTTTGGACAGGGTGGGCTTCCCTGGCTCTCCACCAACCCCGTTGGGGCAGAAAGGAGGGGTCCAGGATTATCTTGATCAGAGTCGCAGGGTCCCGGGGAAGGGGGCACAGAGTGTCCATGAGCTCACTGTAACACCTGCGAGGGTGGGCAGGCCCTGGCACAGGATACCCAGAGCAGCTGTGGTGCCCCTGGAGCCCTGGAAGTGCCCAAGGCCAGGTTGGAGGGGGCTTGGAGCAGCCTGGGACAGCGGGAGGTTTCCCTGCCATGAGCTTTAAGGTCTGTTTCAACACTTTAAGATCCCTTTCCACGATCTTTAGCAGCTGCAGGGTGGAGTCCGTGCTGGGAGCCTTTGGAAAACCTTTCCTGCAGGCTGAGGGTGATTCCCAGTCCCCTCCTGTCCTGAAGGGGCCTCAAAGTCCCATGGGGTTCAAAGCCCAGCAAACCCCAGAGGGTCATTTGGGGTCATTTATCACCTCAAAACGCCATCTGCAAATGGAAGTGCAATTCCAGAGTTTTTCAAAGTTTTCTGAAAATAGGTGTTCCCACTGAGCATCCTCAATCCTGCTCAATCTGCTCCTGTCTCATCCCTGCAATCATCCCATCCTCACTGATGATGGAGAGGGATTCTATTCACCTCTGGTCCCTTCCTGGCTGCAGACAGGGATTTATTTAACAGTTCCTGAGCTCCTCTGGAGGGTTCCTCATCATTCAGGATGTACTGGCTCTGGAAGGGTTTTTATTGGAATATATATCTCCCATCTCACCTTAAATCAGCTCTGGGGCTCTGTTTCCTCTCAGTGCCCTCCCATGGGATCTCTGGAGATCCTGCAGTCTGGACAGGGGCCAGCAAGTAGGGTTTATTTAGGGAAGGACATGTGGCACCACAGAGAAATGACAACCCAGGCAGAGTGAGAAGCGAGGCTGGGATCGGGTGGCTCCGGTCTCAGGAGCATGGGAGAGGCCAGGAAGTTTGGCAAAAGGGCATCTGGGGCCTCTCTTGCTCCTGGAGGCACCATTTTCCAGGGCAGGAGCTCAGTCTGGGGGATGAAGGATGTTCATGGTGGTGGAACAGGCTGTGGGGTGGTGGGGACAGCTGTGACCCAGAGGGGGCAGGGCACCCCAGGACCTCTGGGACAGCTCGTGGTGCCCCCACCTTGAGCTCTTCCTCACCTTCCTCATTCATTTCCTCTCTGTGAGCTTCACCAGGCAGGGGAAAAGCAGAGATTTCCTGGGAGGTACTTCCAGGCATTCCATCATGGGCAGGGTTTTCATCCTGCAGCACCCCCAGTCCCAAATTCTCTGGGTTTCTGGAACAAACCAACCCTCTGAAAAGTGAGGCTGCACTTGAGAATGAGATTTTATTGGCAAAACCCCTCCTATTCCTGGAAAAAGACCGACCCCCCCCCCCCCCAGGGAAGCCAGGTGAGTCCCATTCCTCAGAGCAAAGGACTGGGAGAACTCTCCTGGCAAGGGAACATCTCCAATCAACCCACATGGGGAAAGGGAAGTATTTTGGGAACTGGGGAGGAACTGGGTCTGGAGGCTATTGGGGATCTCTTGTAGAGCTGTGGGGTTTTGCCTCTCTCTGTATCCTTCCCCCAACCCCAGGGGGGCTCCTGGCTGTGTTTAGGAATCTTCCCAGAAGTGAAATGATTTTCTAAACCAAGGAAAGGGAAAACATCCATCAGTGAATCCCTTCAGTG